CCAGGCACTGTGTTGGCAGCTGGCTGACGTACGGAAGACAGTCATCGAAATTCTGGAGCGATTCGTTGTCCTAATGTATGACTGCACCAGTGAACTTCAAGGTGTAGATGCGGCAAGGCGCTATCTTTTCTCCAAGAAGTCCAGGGAGATCGAGAATATTCCACCAACGGCAGCAGCTCTATTAGAACACACAAAGAGAGCTGCATTCCAAGCAGGCCACATTTGGGGTCAATGCTTAGTCGCCAATACAGCTGTTCCCTCACCAGGTGACTGGGGTTGGAAGGAGTGTGATGGACAATGGAAAGTTTTATGGACCATGCTTCCTGAGGCCGCTAAAGCTTGTTAAGAGCTGCTGAGCTGCAAGTGCAAGCAGACCTGCAAGGGGAACTGCAAGTGCTATGGGGCAAACCTCCAGTGCACTTCACTATGCGCTTGTGATGGACAGTGTTATGCAAATTAAGTTTAATGCGAGGTAAAACAGTGCACTGCATGATGCCTTATAAAAAACAAGGGTGTGGCCATCTTGGATTTTAATATGGCAGATATCTGACAGGTATTCTTTCACTGGAATCCTTGACGGGGGTAGCCATTGGAATTTAGTTTCTATCTGTCTTAGTTGTAGACAATCAGGTTTAAGGCGGCGGTCATCTTGGAATATAATATGGCCGACACCAATGTTCAAAATAATTATTTTACTGGATTCCTTGACCCTGAAAATAGGGTGTTAGCAACTGGAATTGCTTTTTAATATGCCTTAGTTTCGAAGTTATGGGCAATTAAGTTTAATACGGCGGCCATCTTGGAATCCAATCCGACACTGGATGTGCAAAATAATGACTTGACCGAATTCCTTGACCCTGAAAATGGGGGGTTAAACACTGAAATGGCATTTCTATCTGCCTTCGTTTAGAAGTTATAGGCACAAGTAGGATCAATATGACGTCCATTTTGAAATTTAAAATGGCGGCCACCAGGGGGCATGTCAGAGTTGGGTCCTAATCGAAAAATGATCCTATAGGGGTCCCATACATAAGTGCCAAGTTTCATAATTTCTCCACAAAGTGCAATATTTTTTGGCTTGGCCGCTGGACTATCAGAGATGTCCGTGACGCCTCCTAAAATTACATGTGCAGTCAAATGAAATTGGCATTTAATTCAAATTTACAAGATTACCTGCACTTATGATTTTTTTATTTTCAACATTAAAAACAAGAAATGACTTCTTCATCTTTTTCCTTGGTTTTCTTTTTCTATGAAATATGAAAACGGAATGTTTTCTGATTTTCGTTTTCAAACAAAAAACCAGAAAATGACTGGTTTGTTTGTGTTTTGGGTTTTGCTTTCAAATCGAAAGATGAATGAACGTAATGTACACGGACCCATTTACCCTTGTGATAATGCAACCAACAAGAGATGTTTGCAGCACGCCCTTGCGGAATGGAAGCACGCAGCATGCACGAAGGAGCTTTCAGCATGTATTCTAGGTGTGCAAAGTGTGAAAATGGCCTGCTTATAGCATGCACAGCACGCAGGTGCCAGCAGGAACCAGTGAATCACACTCAAACATTCGTTTTACACAACCTTTGAGTAATTTGTTCGCAAAACCTGCATGAATTTAAAGCATGCAAATGTGCAGATATATGAAGGTGCAAGCCTCACACCACACGCGCCATAATGTACATTTGCATGCACTAATGCATGTACAGGTGTACGTGAAATTTGTTTGTAGAATCCGAGCTTGTAATTTCTTGGCAAATGTAGGGCCTGTTTGTTTCATATGGATCTGGATCAGTGATCCCAACGCTGGTTCCCACCATCCATTTGGCAAGTTTTGGTGTCTGTGAACCAACCACAGATCACTGATTGTGATACAGACTCATGTGAAACAAGCACGCCTGTAGGTTCCTTTTTTAAACTTTAATTTCTTCTTAGTTTAGTTGTAAAAAATATAAAATACTGAAACATTTTGTAGTCAGAATTCTAGCTGTCTAATAAATTTATATATCATTTAAAACATCAAGAAGAATTCTTGGGTGCATTCGTGCGGTTACTCCTGCTAACACGAGTAGGATGGGCGCGCATTACACTCTGGTCCAGGAGTACACTCCCTGGGCGCTCAGGAGTACACATAAACACATGTACTTGCAAAAAAGTGTTTTAAAAAGGATGCAAAGGCATACGTCATTTTCAAGAGAGAAATGTCGACTACTTATTAAGCTCCAATGGCTAATTCCCGCACAACGGTCAATTCACCTTATCCCACTGTCTGAGTCATGGCCATTGATGGGGCTGTCTTGCATCTTCCCGGTGGGGCTGTGCCGGGCCTGTCTACCCATCAAGCTGTTGGTGGATCGCTTCAGAGTGTCCACCTCCCTCTCCTTGTCTCTCCTCTTCTGCTGCTCCCTCTAGAAGCAAAACAAAACGGTTCATCGGTCAAGTGTGTTGAAGCGATCTAGTCGCAGATGGGCTCAAACCAAATACCAGAGCTGTACCAACCTTACATACTGTACATGTGCTTTGTGTGGACCAGTGAACAAAACGGGTCCACATACATGTAATGCAGGTTGTGTGAATCCAAACTGAGTTTTTTTTTATTTACAAAAATATAATTATACAATCAGTGCTCTAAATTATCTAACTGCTGAGATTTCGATAACTGTGTACCTTCATCAGGGCAAGCAGATTCAGTTCTGGGGTTCTAGTTCATTTCTGGGGTTTGTTTGCATGTACATGTGTTTCTCTGTACCAGCATACATGCATTTGCAGGAAGATTGATTGTCATGCAAATGTTAACCTTTTTGCAAGCTTGAAGAACTACAAACAGTATATGTGATGCACAAGTAGACTCCGAGTCCAATCAAGAGTATACAAGAGTGGATGGCTAAAGTCCTCATCAGTTTGGTACCCTGCAATGTTGTAGTACTTGAGTACTTTTTCTGATGTACTCATACTCATCAGAATGTACTCATACTCGTGAGAATGTACTCGTACTCATGAGAATGTACTCGTAAGAAATCTCTTTGTACTAATGGAAAAGAATTTGACTACAACACTGGTACCTAGACATACATGTATCGTACATGTTTGCAAGAAATTAACCATGCATGTTCCAACTGAAAATCATGCTTAACTGCTTGCTGCATTACACGTAAACTTATGGACCTCCCCTGGGGAACTGAACACCTTTGGAAACAATAAATGTGGCCCCCTCCAGGAAAAGGTGATATCTGTGGCACTTTGTCATTCTAAACAATATATTATGGCCCGCTAATAGAGTACATGTACATGGTAGGTTGCGAGGTTGAATCTTGTCCTGGAATTTCACATTTTGGGGGGTCAGAGATAGTATTTTTGATCTCTGAAGCTTCAGGTTTTATGAACTACATGTAAAATGTTCAAAATGGATAATTTGTATGTTGGTAGTGAGACTTTATACAGTAAAGTGCCATTTTGCCATAAATGTGATGAAACATGTACATGTATGCATGGCGCCCTCTTTTAGAATGCTTGAGGAAATATAAACACAGTTGATAAATGGGTGTGTGACTGTAACATGCACAGTCATCTGCTAGAGGGTGCAGACCACTAATTCAAGTGGGATTTCTGACCAGCTCATTAGCATTAAAAGTGCCCCCACAGTATCTTTTGAAAAAGGAGATTGTTTGGCCCCCAAAATGGTGAGATTGTGTAAATCGTTGCCAGGATCAACTCCCTGGGTCTTTGAGCTTTCATATGAGGGCGGAAGGGCTGAAAACTACGGTTGAAAAATGGTCCTAAGTGCCCGAGAAGGTTGAGGGTTGCCACTTGAAAAATGGCTGCAATCAGAATTCGGAAAAGTCACTTTTTGGGGGGTGATTTTGTT